CACGCCTTTAATCCCAGCACTCAGGAGGCAGAGGCAAGTGGATCTCTGTGAGTTTGAGGCCAGCCTGGGCTACAGAGTGAGTTCCAGGACAGGCTCCAAAGCTACATAAAGAAACCTTGTCTTAAAACAAACAAAAACAAACACAAACAAGATAAAGATCTCAAGTAGCCCAGGCCAGCCTTGAATTTGTTCTGTAGCAGAGGATGACTTTGAACTCCTGAACTTTCTATCTCTACCTCCCAAGTACTAGGGGAGGGGAAGGGTGCACACCATCATATTCATATTCAGGTAAGAAAGCTAAACTCTTCTTTTTAGAAAGGATCTTTCTGTGTTACCTTGGCTATACTGGAACTCACTATACAGACCAGGCTGGCCTCGAACTCATGGAGCTCCACCTGCCTCTGCCTCCTACTGGATTATAGATGTGCACCACCACACCGAGTGAAAGCTACATTCTTTTCTACTAAGAGATGAGTTTTCTAAGGTGACAAAAATAATGAGTTTTGGCTGTACATAGGCCTGAGAGCCCAAGTTTGATCCCAGGGCCCCACAAGGTGAAGCAAGAGACCTGACTTTTCTCTAAAGTTCTTCTCTAACCTATAGTCACACACACACACACACACACACACACACACACACACACACACACGTACGCACGCACGCACGCACGCACGCATGCATGCACGCACGCACACACACATGCACACGTGCACACACACACAAAATTATTAAAAGTGAATTTTATGGTTTCTGAATTACACCTCAGTTTTTAAAACTGCAAAGAAGGCAGGGTCAGGAGGGAAGACATGGCATGTGCGTATTATTTAGAACTAGCATGCCAGGCCTGGTGGTGCATGCTGGGAATCCTAGCCCTTGGGAGGTGGAAGTTGGAGGATCTTGAGGTTGGCTTGGAGAGCCTGTCCCAAAACTAAACAAACCACCACCAACAAACACTGGAGAAATGCCTTAAAGTGCAGCCCCCGTCACTACCCCACGGCCCAGTGAGTAGTCTAAAAGGGGAAGGAGCAATTTCCAGTGGATTCAATGGGAAGAGGAAATCACCAGCTCCCAGTGACGGAGGAAGCCATCTGGCTCTTCACAGGCTGTCGGAGGGGTGCCTGGGCCATTTGGATGAGACTTTTCAGGAGTCATGGTGACCCAGAAAGTGTAATGTACTCATGGGCTCCTCTAACCCATGTCCATCCCTACGTGTGCACTTACATGTGTGACCCCTAAGCTCACCTGGGTTTGAGGTAGCTGAGTGCTTCTGAGAACTGGTTGGTGAGGAAGAGGTCCAGGGCTATCATGCACTGGTCCAGGGCCTCATGGAGGCTGCTCACAGGAGACCTGAGGGAAGAAACAGACATGCAACAGACAGTCTTTGGCCTCTCCTGGCCAGGGCAGAGCTTCACTGGCCTGGTTGACCTGACAACCAGGCCTCCTCTGGGCTGCCCATGCTGAGACACAGGGACCATTTATACCTACTTCTCAGTGTCCCCAATGGTGGAAGAAAGGAGGGTGTCATCTGAGACTCAATGACAGGATGGGGCTGGGGCTGAGGATGGGGAGCAAGGAAGCCATAAGAATGATCATTTCTTAAGCCGGGCGGTGGTGGCGCACGCCTTTAATCCCAGCACTTGGGAGGCAGAGCCAGGCGGATCTCTGTGAGTTCGAGGCCAGCCTGGGCTACCAAGTGAGTTCAAGGAAAGGCGCAAAGCTACACATAGAAACCCTGTCTCGAAAAACCAATAATAATAATAATAATAATAATAATAATAATAATAAAATAAAATAATAAAGAAAGAAAGAATGATCATTTCTTACCCTTCACAATTGTAAAAGGAGCCCTTATGGCCCTTCTGACCCATTGGGCTTTGCCGCCCCCCTGAGGGGCACCGCCCAACACTGATGCCACTCCGTCCCTCTCTGGGTATTTCTTCTCCAGGTTCTTGCTGACCTCAGGCCTATACTCTAGAACTGACACTGTCACAATGGGCCATGGAGGGCAATGGTTCTGTATGAGCATTCCAGAGCCTTCCACACTCGTCACCTTCCCGATGACATCTCCTACATACCTGGCCCTCTTCTGGTCCTCAAGTTCCCTACAGTTCTTAGCATCCTACCAATATGTTTAAATTATTGTCTGTCTCCCTCCACTAAAATACAAGCTTCTAAAAAGCAGGAATCTTGCGTCTATCCCTTCTGTATCCCCAGCCCTAGTGTCTGGTACAGAGTAGGCTCCTAACAAATTCATGAGTGAGTGAGTGAATGAATGAACAAACAAATGAAGTCCAAGGCTGGGACTTTCCTGGGTCTCAACTTTCCCTTCTGAAAAATGAAAATGCCTCTTCTCCAGGAGCCCAGTTTGAATGAGCGAAGATGTTAGTTCTTTGAGACAGCGTCTCCTTATGTAGCCCTGGCTATCCTAGAACCCTTTACGTAGATCAGGATGTCCTAGAACTCACAGAGATCCACCTGTCTTGGTGCTGGAATTAAAGGTGTGCACTTGAAAGAAAGTTCTTATAGACGCTTGCCATACTGCTGAAGAAAATCCTGATCTTCACACCCCAGAGAAAGAAGAAGTCTCCGCTTAGGCCAAATCCTACACCTACCCAAGGCCTGTCGGCAGATCTTCCCAGGCAAACTGAGAAGCAGTCAAAGCTTGCCTCTTGCGCCTTCTCCTCAGCCTGTTCCCGCTCAGCCTTGCCAATTTAGTGAGTAACACATCCCCACCCAGTTTCTCAAGCCAGAAGTCTGATAGGCATCTTTGACCCACCCCTCTCACGGGGCTCCACCACCAAACACCAGCAGCACCTGCCTCCATGTCTGTGGGCCTCTTGGCCCAGCCGCTGTCACGGTAAGCCAAGCCTGCCAGGAAAGTCCCCTCTCCTCTCCTGCTACCTCCCTCCCAGTCTCAGCCCCTTTCACACTGTGTTTCATGGCCTATAAGATGCCCTTCTCCCAGCCCTCTTTGGTTCTGCGTTCATTTATTGGTGGCAGTTTTTTGCACTGTTTTTTTTTTTTTTTTTTTAAATAATGAAGACCCTTTCCAAGTTGATAGCGCGATCCACCACGTGCGGAGGTCAGCTGGCAACCTGTGGGAGTCAGGAATCGAACTCAGATCATCAGGCTTGGCAGCAAGCATCTCCACCCGCTGAGCCAGCTTTCCTGCCCTTGTTTGCCTTTTAAGACGGGAGTCTTACTATGCAGCTTTTGTGGTCTGAATGTGAAATGTCACCTACGGGCTCCTGTGTGAACACTCAGTCCCCAGCTGGTAGTGCTGATTAGGGAGGTCGTGGAACCATTAGAAGATGGGGTTTTCTTAAAGGAAGCGGGCCACTAAGGGTGGGTCTTCAGGCTTAATAGTCCAGCTCTGCTTCCTGTTCATTCTTTGCTTCCTAAGTGTAGATGGAAGGTGAGCAGCTAGCTTCCTGCTATCACGCTTTCCCCAGGATGACGGACAGCATCCCCCAGGAACTGTGAACCCAGAATAATCCCTTTCTTTCTGAAATTGCTTTTATCAGAGTTATTTTTATCATGGTAACAGGGAAAGAAACTATCACAGGGCCTGGAGAGGTGGCTCAGCAGTGGAGAGCACTTGTTGCTCTCACCGAGGACCACGGTTCAATTCCCAGCACCTGCGTGACGGCTCACAACCATCCAAACCTCCACTTCCAGGGATAAGATGCCCCCTTCTGACTTCTGCAGGCGCTAGGCACACATGTGGTGCACACACATACATGTTGGAAAGACATTCATATAGATAACATAAATCTAAAAGAAGAAAGAGACTGAGAGAGCAATCCAAGCTGGCCTCAAACACTCGTTCAGTCCTCCTGCCCCAGACTCCGGAGTACTGGGGTTACAGGCTGAGAACTTCCTTTAGGGATCCCCTAACACACAGCTCCCTGCTCCCTTTTCAAGACTTTCATTGTGCTAGTTCCTCTTCCGGTGTGGAATTTGCTAGTTGCTTGCTGGGTTTTTCATGTTGATTGTGGTTTTCATTTCCAGGGATTCCAATTGACTCTTCTTTCAAATCTGATCGATTATTTTAGACAGCCATTGATTCCCAGCTTATTGTTTCAGATTTAGCTTCAACGTCTTCACACATTGTAAACACAACTAATTATATATTATTTCAGCATTTTTAGATCCTCAGAGAAAAGAATTCTGCTATTTATTGTTGCTGCTGCCTGTCACTCACGGCGGATTGTTTCCTTGTGTTTTGTACTTTTATCAGTAAATTACATTTGAGTAATCCCAAAGGGACCTTGGGATGAGGACCCATCCCTTCAGAAAGGACTCTGTTGACTTTGGCCAGGTTCCCAGGGTGCTGCCACCCTGAGGCTGTTTAAAAAAAATACTATTTTACTTTATGGATTCTAGGTCCTCAAAAGTAATGTGAATTTTAAAAACGCAGCTCTTGCAGGAAAATCAAGCAATGTTTGTCATTTTTAGGGAACTGCTCTCTCCACTGGCAGATTCTTTCCAGCCACACCCCCTCCTGTTCACTGAGGCTGGAACCCCAGGGGCCTCTATTTAAGTGGAGAGGAAGGAGGCTGTGCTTTGAATCTTCACACAGTGCAAGCCCACACCCTCCCCTCCCCTGCCTTGAGTGATTGGAGGGTTCTGAGTCTGAAAGGTCCTAGGCTACCATGGCAGCGGCTTGTTCCCAGACACACTCCAGATCCCACCACTAGAGAGGACCTGCGGCTGTCAGGGAGGTCAGGAGGACATCTTAGAGGATGCCTGGTGTAGCCCACCCAGCCCCCAGGTTCTGACGGCTGACTGTGGGAAACACCAGTCCCTCCAACCCAGCCCTGCCTTAATAGCCATGGATACCTTTTGAAAGCACAGATCTGATCATGTTACTTCAGATCCACCATGGCTTCTCATGTCTCTGAGAGCAAAGACCCACTTCCTTTCCATGGTCATAAAAGGCCCCACCCAAAGCGGGCTGGCCCTCTTCTCATGAGGCCTGGCATGTCTGTCTGCCTTTGTGTTCAGGACCCAGCCTAGCAACCAGGGTCCAACCCATTCATCTTTGCTGTGTGAATTAACTAGGAAGCTGCAAACACAGTTCCATGAGTACTCAATGACATTCTTAATTTGTACCCTCGAAGCGCTTTGTGACCTGGGGTTTTACACACCGTGGATGAGAAAACAGAGGCACAGAGGAGAAGTGACTTGGCCAAGACCGCAGAGCTCAGGGGTGGGCTCTGACCCGAGTTTCTTCCTATGTTGGTATCCATCGGCTGAGCCTCAAGGCATCATGTGGCCCACATCCACCAAGTGGGGAAGCAAAAGCCTGCCTCTCATCCTTGCCGACACCCTACCCCTCACCCCATCCCACGGAGAAGCGAGAAAGACGCACAGCCTGATGGTTTCCCTGGGGCCCCAGCACCTCTTTGGCTTAACTGAAGTGAGGAAGATCTACAGCTAGAGATAGCCCTGAATCCATTCTTTCTGTCTTCCCTCCCACCACACTCACTGAGCTCTCTCTGTTAGCGGCTGCTGCTGTCTGGGCTCTGGGAACAGAGTGGCCCCAGTCTGGAACCTTGCCCTTGCCGAGCTCAGTCTTCCGAAGGCTCTCTAGCGGGCGGAGCAGTGACAGCCACCGTTAACGGGGCTGTGATGGACGGAAGAGGCCCTCACTCAGCCTGGGCACTCAAGGAAGGTATCTCAGCCAGATGGCACCGAACTGAACCCAAGGCGGAGAAAGAAGCCCGTGAAGGAACGGGGAGCGGAAAGGCTGGCAATACCGCAAGGTGGTTCTCAGGCACTGCAGTCTGGACAGGCTGAAGACGGGCTCCAGAAAGCCTGCTGGATGGAGAGACGAGGCCCGGCCAGGGAGCCCAGGAAGACTGGGGACATTGGCCCTATGGGATTAATGGCACTGGCATCCACTCCCTCTCCCAAGGGATCGCTCAAGCTTTAATCTAAATCGGCTGTGGTATTATTTCCTTCAGTCCTCCTCCCAGCTGAGCTCTTATCTGCATTTGAGAGATAAGCGGGAAGGCACTGCAGTGTGGAAGACTCCTCCCCGAGGTCTGCAAGAGCAAAGCGCAGGCCCTTTCCCCAGGCTTCCTCTGCCCTGGCTGTGCCCAAGTCTCCACAGGCTGTTCCGCAGCCATCCAGGCCTTTCTGTTCCAGGGTACCTTGTTCTGCCCAACTTACATCCTTGTGGTGACGGTGACCTCTCTGCTGTGCCTTAAGGACATTAAGGCATGGGTGAAGGATGGGGATGGGCAGGCACTGAGCTGGATGGAACACGGATGGAGACCTACATCAGGGTCTTAGACACAGTGGTAAAGGACTGTCCCATTCAGACACATACGAACTCATCCCACAGACATGCACACACAGGAGGCCACAGTGAGAAACCAGCTGGGGGGTAGGAGGGGTGCCAGGCAGCTGGGGCCACTCTACCCCCCTTCCCTTCCCAGCTCCCTGTCATGGGCTTGGTCTGATACCTTGTCTCAAGGGCAGGGCTGGGGACAAAGTGACTGGGAGACCCTTAGACCCAGTTAACCCCTGAACCTAACCTCAGTCAGAAGAGCAAAATCACTCAGGGAGCAGACTGGAGCCAGTCCTGGATTTTAATCTCTGCTCTGCCCTTTGGAGGTGCCGGACTCTAGTTCAAAAAGTGCAGTGTGTATCTATGGGGAGTTGCGGCTTCTGAACTGACCTTTCTAAGTTTCAAATATGGTCAAGAGGTTTCATTCAAAGCCCCATACTCGCTGGGCGGTGTGACGCACGCCTTTAATCCCAGCACTTGGGAGGCAGAGGCAGGCGGATCTCTGTGAGTTCGAGGCCAGCCTGGGCTACGGAGCGAGATCTAGAACAGGCACCAAAACTACACAGAGAAACTCTGTCTCGAAAACACACACACACACACACACACACACACACACACACACACACACACACACACGCCCCATATTCTGTGGCCCTTAGCGATACACAGTCAGTACCACAGGGCACGGTCTCTTAGAGCTTTGAAAGCAGACAGCCTTGAGCTGAGCTGAAGCTCATCAGTTACGCATCACTTGGCAAAGGTTTTGTTTTTGTCTTTTGAGACCCCACTGGGTCTCCTATATCTAAGACTGGCCTGGAACTTACTATGTAGCCAAAGATGAGCTTGAGTTTCTGATTCTCCTGCCTCCACCTCCCAAGTGCTGGGATTACAGGTGTGCTCCACCATGCCCAGCCTTATTTGGTGCTAGGGGATCAAAGCCAGGGCTCTCTGCATGCTGGACGAGCACCATAGCAACTGAGCTCCACCTCAGCCAGCAGACAGTTCTTCGGCCTTACAAGCCTTTATTTCCTGGTCAGTACAATGGGCCTAAGGGGACCTACATCCCAGGGCTGTGACGAAAGACAGAGGTGGGAAGTACTCATGAACTGTAACTGGTTATTCTTTTTCGTTTGTTTGTTTTTCACAACAGGGTTTCTTTGTGTAACAGGTCTGGCTGTCCTGGAACTCGCTTTGTAGACCAGGCTGGCCCTGTACTCATAGCGATTCTCTTGCCTAGAGGGGTGTGCCATCACCGCCAGTGCGGTTACTCTTTTCCACTGGCATGTCTCTCTCTCATCAAGCAGGGCTGATTTAGTAACGGAACAAGCCAGGTGTGGGGGCACACTCCTGCAGCCCCAGCCCTCAGGAAGGCTGAGGTGGAAGGATCCAGAGTCTGAGGCCAGACAAGGCCTACACAGTGAGATCCTGTCAGAAGGAAGCAAAAAGAGGTGGGGAGGGGGAAGGAAGGAGGGGAGGGGAGGTTGGGAGCACACCCGTCACCCACGAGGGGCCCCACAGGGGCACACGCCTGTGAAAAGCCAGCCAGCCACACAGGACTCCTCTGTGCTTGACTAGCAGGACACAGAGAACCACCTCACTGTCTAACAAGGGTGAGTAAATAAACGGATCTTTACACAGGGCGATGAAGCAGGTATCAGGATGAGGGGACCAGCGTGTGGGACCAAGGAGGCAAAACTTCACAAACCAACCCAAATTTTGGAGAAGTCAACCACCGAAGGCGCGTGCTGCGTGGTTCCATTTACAGAATACTTGAAGTAAGAACAAACCACTCCCCATCCCCAAACTGGGTTGTTTTTAGATTTTCCTGTACTCAGCAGGAGAATAAAAACGGGAAGTGATAAACCCAAGATCCAGGCTGGCAATCATCTCGGGAGAGGGAAGGCAGGAGGGGTCTCCACGAGGACTTTGCAACGCTAACAAGACTTCTCTCTTAAATACAAAATAAAGTATGTGGGCAGAGCTAATATCTGGCAACACAGGGTGGCAAGAATATGGAGGTCCATTTAATTATTTACCATAGGGGCTAGAAAGATGGCTTAGTGGTTCAAAGTGGGTGCTGCTCCCACAGAGGACCAGAGTTTGGTTCCCAGGATCCACATCAGTGGCTCGTAACTGCCTATAACTCCAGATACAGGAGATCTGATGCCCTCTTCTGGACTCCATTTGTGTGTGTGTGTGTGTGTGTGTGTGTGTGTGTGTGTGTGTGTGTGTGTGTA